CAGAGAAATGTAAGTGTTTCGTCGATCGTTTTTTGGGTATACTACTCGATTAAGCGATTTTGAAGGGAGGGGGTAGTTTTTTAATTTTCAAAATTTAAACAAATTTCCATTGATTAACTATTACCCANCTGCCACTGTTATCACGTGACTGTCGCGTTTTTGCAACTCAATCCTATCGCACAACACTAATTTTCTACACTCTGTTGCTTGCTTTTGTGTTTGTTTGTTTGTGTATTGTTGTTGTGTTGTTGTTTTTTGGTCGCCGACCATCCCCCTTACATCCACATCCCTGTCACTCCTCACTCAACCAACCACCATACTTTCAACCCCCCCCCCCTCCAGCTCAAAAACATAACTTTGAACACCACTACAACCCCATGTCGCCCCAACCCCCACTAATGTCGCCCCCAAGCCAACGTCTCTTGGGCTGTGGTGGTTTGGACGACTATGGTGGTGGTGGTTTGGAGTGGGGGCTCCCTGAGAATTATCATTTTCATTTCATACTCAATATAGTAAAAATGACCATTTTACCTTTTAACCATTACATTAAACAATTTTATGTTAATTTAATAGTGGGGATTTGGAAGTTATAAAACCACAAGTGGGAACTTGGAGATTCGTCAAACTTTGGGTGGGTAAATGTCGTTTACTCTTTTATAAATTTAGGCTTTTTATCAATGTCTTCCTAGTGTTTACTATGGATCGAAGAATTCTAACTAACTAATTGATGATTACTCTGTTGCACTAATTACGTTTCAATGATTCGACAATTAATTTTTTTAGAAAAATGCTACTTTTACAACATAGTCTCACAACCTTCTCTTACAACTCTAACGTGTCAACAGATTAGCATGTCATGTCAACTCCCACCACACCCAAGGCATTACGAGAAACAAACAATCGTTCCTTTAAGAAGGAACGGTCGTCCCCCATGAAGGAACGAGGCTGTTCCTTACCTTGTTTCTCTCCTATCAATTCCCTTCTTCAATTTCGTTCTTCTTCTTCTTCTTCTTGGAACAACACAAGGTTGTTCCTTCTTCTTCTTCTTCTTCGCTTCTCCACTTTCACAGACTTCCTCATTTTTTTTATTCGTTCTCCTTTTCTTTCCATACATTATTGTCGTGAAATGAGATTTTACGTGCTTACTCTTTTGGCTCTCTCTTCTATGCTCAAGTTGCACTTCAACCACTTTCAATACCCCACCAACTTCCTCCTCCACCCTACCAACTTTCTTCGCCACCCTACCAACTTTCTCCTCCACCATTTTCATCTGCTCTTCCATCTTCTCAAATCTCTCATAAACGGTTGTTGTAAAACTGTCAAAGAAACCGTTTATGAGGTCAACGTTCTCCCAACACTAATGCCTCGACAAATCGGTACTTGTTGTACCGGTTTGCTAATTGGGTGAAGGCGTATGAACCTCTTCATCCTCCTCCCCACCGACTAGACCTTCATCCTCGTCAACCTCAAGCAATGGCCCTACAGCTACACTCACATGCGTGACCCCTTCTAGGTCTCGCATTAGGCGATCTATCCCCTCATCTGCTACATCGTCCAATGCTGTGAACAATGTAATATACTCCTCTCCCAATTCACCCCTAGTAGGGGTGATGAGAGGACGAACGACTCCCTACAATAAGAAAAAAAAATCAATCAAATTTAAGTCACATTTAAAAGCAAGTGCATATTCAAAAGATTAATCCTTTAATCTTACCTGAGCTGCTTGAATTTCCATTTATATTTTGTCGTAGTCCCAATGGGCACACTAAGATCATCCTAGGAAATTATGGTGGCTCATTTGAAGTCTTCTTCTGCCCCCTGCCTTAGTCAGGACAGGGATGACCTTATACATCTAAGTCTACATTGTAAAAAAAAAAAAATCTATATCATAATTAAAACACGTATAATACAAAAAAAATATATTACAAAAAGCTATTAATATTTACCTGCATTGCCCATGGGAAGCCAAACAAATTGTACGTGCTCGGTCTATCCTTCTCGACAGATTGGCGATGTTTTATCGCCATGTCTTTTCCGCGTAGGGACTCAATGGTTAGTTGAAATGATAACCTTCCCCACAGATAAGCATTAAAGAACTCCATGTTACTTGCAAACTTCACCCAATCCATATTAATGACTTTTGTTGAGTCAGAAGTCATTAGGATCGAATGCACGAACCATACTAGGCACATCTTAAACTTCTTCGAAGAGGTATACCCATCTTCTTCTAACCTCTGCTCTAAATCACGTCCCGTAATAGATGCCTTCCCCCCTGAAACCCTTCTAACCAAGTTATCGACTGCCCTACTCTTTGTTATTTTCTCTTGCTCTTCTGCATCCGGAAATACCCCACATCTTAGGCCTGTCATCAAGACAAATTCCATCATACTAAAACGTAGTGACTTCTCATCCACCATAAACCACATTTCATTTTTTCTTTTTTCTGCTTTTAACTGAGTGTAGCAACATATTCCAATTTTCTCCTATGTCCGCAAAATGACCGAAACAACTATCTTTGAATCGGTCCATACCCCTAATTTGTTCCTCTACAATATCCTTTAGTCTCATAAAAACTTGCCAATTCGACCTAACTGTCACCCTTACAGGGAAGTATGGTATCTTATCACTTACAACCTCCAACCCATAGTCTTTATAATTTATGCTTCAGAAAATTTGCACAAACGATATAAACTAAATAACAGCAAAAAAAGAAACCAAAACAACCAGTAGGCTACCGATTTGGGGGATATGGGCTTCGAGGGCATCGGGGAGTGGGAGTTTTTTGCTTCGAGAGGAACGGGGAAGCCAATGCAAGCCCTATAGAGGCTGTTGTGGCAGGTTTGATGACTAGAGATGGTTGGGGATGGCAAGAAAGGGTGGAATAAGGGGGGCTACCCTACATATTGCAAGGCTGGCCACAGGCAGTGTGTGCCTACAATATGCAGGGCAGCGCTTCAGCCCCCATATTTTGCCCCCTCCTGCCATCCCAACCCTTCAAACTCCCACAAACAACCTCTTTACGGCCTCCCTTGCCTTCCTCCATCCTCTGGAATCGCCACTCCCCTGATGCCTAACAATTGCTCGATAAAACGCTACGACCACCGTACTAATCAAAACCAACTACATATCCTCCAAATTCGCACAAACCAATCATTTTTTCATCAAATTCAAAACCACTGGTAAAAAACGTACATTTTCTTCACAACATACTCCTCTTCGCCTGAATTCTTGCTGGCGTCCTCCTCTTCAAAACCATTTTTCGATTCTCTTCTCTGTTCTTGCGCTGCCATTGTCTCCTCTGCCACTAGACCATCTTCACTCATCGGATGATTCATCAGAGCGTCTTCTTCAACAACCTTTGAACAGTCGTCGCTACCGAACTCTAAGATTTAGAGTGGGGTTGAGTTTTCCTTCTTTTTGTGAATATCAGCCATGATTTTTGTATAATGAAGCTTTACGATCGAATATTTGTTAGAAATAGGGAACTTTTATCGTTGGAAATCGTGGAGAGATGTAAGTGTTTCGTTGATCGTTTTTTGGGTATACTGATCGATTAAGTGATTTTGAAGGGAGAGGGGTCGTTTTTTAATTTTCAAAATTTAAACAAATTTCCATTGATTACTATTACTCATATACGTTTCAATATGTTCACTCTAACCCTTTTTTTTTTTTTTCAAATTAAATGTGCCCTTTTATATTTTTTAATTAAAAAAAAAAAAAAAAAAAAAAAAAAAAAAAAAAAACCAATGTTATAGAATACACAAAGCGTGAATTTGNAATTTCCATTGATTAACTATTACCCATATAGGTTTCAATCTTTTCACTCTAACCCCTTTTCTTTTTTTCAAGTTACAATTAAGTGTGCCACGTTAGATTTTTAAATTTAAAAAATAAAAAACTTGCCGATTTTCAGGTAGAGGTGGAAAAGTAACCCGCCCGCCCGCGGCGGGTTACTTAATTAGGCGGGTTGGTCCTAACCCGCCCGTCAACAAAGGCAGGCCGGGTTAGGCCCGCCATTTTTGGGAAAATTGATGGCCCAGCCCGGCCCGCCAACCCTAACCCACCGGGTTAGGCTACGGGCCGGGCCGGGTTAGCCCTATTTTTTATTTTTTATTTTATTTATTTAACTTTTCAAATAAATAATTAACAATTTATAAATGAATAAATGTAATTGTTTTTAGTTAACTTTTCAAATATCAATAATTCAATTAAATTAATTTTTTTTTTTGTTAACATTTCAAATATTAATTCAATTTTAATACAATAAAATTGTAGTATAAGAAAAATTAGTTTATTTATTCAATTGATGAAATTTTAGCAGAAGAATGAATTATATTTTATACAAGACATGGAAATTTGAGAATAAGACTTTAGTATTTATTTTTTTTGTATTTTACGTACCATAAAAAATAATAATAACAATATGTCAAATATTACGAAATTTTATACATTTTAATATTTATGATTTAGAAGTATAGTTTAATATTATTGTGTAAAATTATTTGTTTGTAAGAGTTCAATCATAATAGTTTAATTAAAAGAATTAAAAAAATAGGGAAAACTTGAAAAAAATAATTTTTTTTTTATTTTTTTTTAATTTTTTTTGGGCTAACCCGGCGGGTTGGCTAATGCAAACAAAATAGCAACCCGTCGGGTTGGCGGGTTGCCATATAGCAACTCGGCCCGCCCGAGGGTTGCATACGGGTTGGGTTCAACCCTCTCTAATGTGAGCTGGGTTAGGGTTGACCCACCTAACCCAGCCCATTTATTCCACCTTTATTTTCAGGGTTATTTTTTAAAATCCAAACCTGGGATGTCCGAGGAGTTAAAATGCCTCTAAAATCTCCCTTGAACCTCCATTGATTCTTTATCCACACCTCCCTCTCTCTCTTCAAAATGTTCCATTTCTTCAAACTCTAATACCCTTTCGAAATTTTTACCTCTTTTTTCTTCAATGGTTGCTTCTTCTTTTCTCTTCCAACCCTCGCCTCTTCTGTTAAAACCCACCTCAACTTCCACCAAGCTTTGGACTTTCACTTCGTTTTTCGCTCTCCGGAGGAAAAAAAAACAAACCCTTTTCTCAATTCAATGCCGTGTACTCGCCAGGCCTCTCCCTATCCTCGCCTACTAATAGTAAGTCATCCCCACGAAGGGACAACTATGAAACTGAGCAGGACTCCATTTCGGTTCTCAATGAGAGAATTTGGAGAGACTACAGTAAGAGAGAGGCTATAAGGCCTGTAATGGACTCAGAAGAGGCTGACAAGTATATTCGGTTGGTTAAGGAGAAACAGCAAATTGGATTGCAGAAGTTAAAGAGTAAGAAAGCAGGTGATGGTGGTGGTAATGGTGATGGTGGCGGTGGCGGTGGTTTTAGTTATAAGGTTGATCCGTACGATTTAAGGTCGGGTGATTATGTGGTGCATAAAAAGGTTGGTATTAGGAGATTTGTTGGGATAAAGTTTGATGTGCCAAAGGGGTCTTCTGAGCCTATTGAGTATGTGTTTATAGAGTATTCTGATGATATGGCTAAACTTCCTGTTAAGCAGGCCTCTCGTATGCTCTGCCGATATAATCTGTAAGGTTTTATTTTTTATATTTTATTGGATTGATTGTACATTTTCTTTTTTTTTTCTGAGCAATTTATTGCTTGATAGGAAATGGTTGCCTTTGCTGCTTATGGTTAATGTGTCAAGGTTGCTTTATCTTATAGGGTTGAATTGTGAGTGTCTGAAATCTCTAAGTCAACAAATTTGGTGGTTGCTTATCCTGCTTAAACTTTTGTATAAATGATTTTTATCTTGTTGATGATTGATTAGAACCTTAAATCTTCTTTCTTTATTAAAATTGAGCTAATTGAGTACTTTAATTTATACATTACAAACTGCGCTTCTCTCTATTATGTAGAGGAGCAAGAAATTTTGTATACCAGCATATGTATCTTGTATCTCTTTCCCTTTGCTTGAGAATCATGTAAAACTGAGAACGATGGATTATCCCATAAACCGTTAAAATTTTGCTCCATTTTTTCTTAATTAACCGGGAAGATGCAGAAATGAACTTAAGCTCTGTGAAATTATGGGATATGAGGGAGAAATGCCATAATACTGAAAACAAATAGAGCATCCTAAAATTATATATATATTGGAGGGCTCCAAAGATCATTTTTCAATGCTTTGCTCTTAATTATATTCATTTATGCCTTTAAGTAATTTTCCACCTGTGTTTTTCATGCCTTATACTTTTGTCATGTTTCTAGGCTTAATGAGACAAAAAAACCTTGGACATTGAGCAAATTGAATGACACTAGTGTGTGGGAGAGAAGAAAGATAAAAGGAAAGGTTGCAATTCAGAAAATGGTTGTGGACCTAATGGAGCTGTATTTACATAGGCTGAAACAAACAAGACCTCCCTACCCCAAGAATCCTGCCATGGTTGACTTTGCTGCCCAATTTCCTTATGAACCCACACCAGATCAAAAGCAAGTAAGGTCTCAACTTATTTTGTTTATTCTGTTTCATTGTTAAACTTTGTTGCTGAGGTCAAACTGATTTCGAATTTGATGCTAGTATGATGTTTATTTTTCTTTGGATGTTATTTGGGGTATAGAAAACTTGTATTAAGTGATCGCTAATTTGAATACAGTCTTAGTCATGCCTAGAATCTGTGGGTTAGGGAGGCCCTATTCTTAGCTTACCAATCTAAGTAAGTTCAAAACATTTTGTTCTACAGTAGTCATGCTATTTGATATAACAAAGTGATAGTTGAACTTTTATGATCTTATAAGAATGGGTGAATGTGTTTCTTCCTCTTACACGTTTGACTCTCATTATAGGCTTTTATTGATGTTGAACGGGATCTGACTGAGAGGGAAACTCCAATGGACTGTTTAATTTTTGGAGATGTTGGATGTTAAACCCCCCATACGTAAGGTCTATGAGTCCAAGGTAGGGGAAGGAAAAGGTGCAAGGGTACAATAAGTGTGAGTCCAGTAGAGGATGTTGACATGTGCAAGGAGGGTGATTAGGCAGGGGAAATCTGTTGTGAAATGGGACACGTACAAGGGAAGTTTGTTATGAAAAGGGACACCTAGCTGTCAGTTAGTTGAAGAATTGTCTATTTAAGAAGATGAAAGTAAGGAGGGAGGATATGGAGAAATAATATTCATTGGCTGGTTAGGGAGGTCCCCAGCTCCTCGAAGTGCTGGGAATTTGCTTGTTATTTCTATTTCCTTGTTATTATGCTGGTTACTATATCTTAGTCCATTAATATAAACTTCCATTTCTGTCACTTGTGCATATCCTGTATTTGTGTGTTGTGTGTGCGTTGCTGTGGTTCTTATTTGTAGGGAGTTCCATCAGATTGGTATCAGAGCCAGATTCCATCAGATTTAATGCTGGGGAATGGTCAAATCAAAAATGGATAATAGGATGGATAATATGGAAAAAGAGATGAAATCAGTTCAAGAAGATATGAGTTCAATCAAAACTGATGTGGGGAGTCTTAAGGAATACTTGACTGAGATGAGAGAATTGTTGAGGTTGAGAGACGAGAGGGAAGAGAAACGTTACCAGGAAAAAGAGAAGCAACAGTCATCGTCCGGGAATACAGATTCAGGTGATGGTCGTGAACATGAACAAGACACAGTAGGGGACAGTGGAAAAGGGGAAAGGAAAACCCGGAAGCTGGAACTTCCAATCTTCAGTGGGGAGGACCCTTTTGGATGGACTTTTCACGCCGACCGATACTTCGCTATCAACAAATATGAACCATCGGAGATGCTGGAGGCAGCGGCTGTTTGCATGGAGGGCAGGGCACTTAACTGGTACCAGTGGGTAGAGGGACGAGATCCTTTCAAGACATGGGAAGAGCTCAAGGCTGCTCTAATCGCAAGATTCAGACCGTCGTTCCAAGGGTCTGCACACAAGGCACTAGTGGCGCTGAAACAAAGCTCCACCGTGACTGAATACAGGGAAGATTTCGAAGCACTTATAGCTCCGTTGAAAGATTTGGGAAAGGAATTGTTAATGGGGGTTTTCATAAATGGCCTTAGGGAAGAAATTAGAGCTGAGTTGAGAGTATTGAGGCCCAACTCCCTTCAAGAAGTCATTGAACAAGCCCACCGGGTGGAGGAAAAAAATTAGGTAATGGAAAAATGGAGGCCCAAAACGTTTAGGGCCCAAGTCACCAGGGAAAATTATTCAAGGGTGTCCAACAGCCCAGACCTAACTCGTCAGACATGGTGGCCTAACCCACCCAAGCTAGTCTCTCACCCGAATCCGACCTGACGCGCATGGTGGCCCAACTCAACAAAATCACCTAAAGCAAGCCAGATCGCGTCATCTCGCGATTCTCGTGCACCCGATAGACTCGAAAGAGCTCCAGAAATAGGAATGACGAACTTCCAAGGAGGATCAGACGGCAGTTTCCGACGGCTGACGGCAGTTTCCGACGGCTGACGGAGGCCGAGATCCAGATTAAACATGAAAAGGGCCTTTGCTTTAAATGCGACGAAAAATTTGGCCCTAATCACCGCTGTCGAAGTAAATCCCTGCAGATCCTATTAGCTTTGGAGGATGACAGTGATGAGAAAGCTGGAAACCCACCGAAAAATGACGATGTTCCTAGCCCAAATGGTGACGATTTAGCGCTGTCCATGAACTCCATCGTAGGCATCACTTCAGATCACACTTTGAAAGTAAAAGGGCAGATTGGTAATACTGAGGTTGTAGTGTTGGTAGACAGTGGGGCATCCCACAACTTTATTTCACAGGATCTTGTAGAGAGGCTGGGACTTATAGTGGAAAAAGGGAAGCGATTTGGGGTGATGATAGGGAATGGAGTAACAGTAAAAAGGGAAGGGGTGTGCTGACAGATCCGTCTGAACGTGCAAGGAGTTCAGATTAGACAGGATTTCTTTCCTTTCCAGTTGGGGGGTGCTGATGTGATTTTGGGTATTACGTGGTTGAGTTCCTTAAGGGACATGTGTGCCAATTGGAAGAATTTGACTATGAGGTTTGAATTGGAAGGGGTCAGGGTCAGTTTACAAAGGGATCCGTCTTTGGTAAAGTCTGGTGTATCCCTGAAGTCAATGTTACGGTCCATCAACAGCACCGACGGAGGGATTCTGGTAAAGTGTTATGCAATCAAAGAACAGCCAAGCCACATAGACGAAGACATCAGTCCGTAAGTTCAGGCAGTTTTGGATGAGTGTCGGCATCTCTTCGACCAGCCCTCTAAACTCCCTCCACACCGTCCCCATGACCATGCATAAACCTTAAGGAAGGAGCCCAAACCCCCAACATTAGACCCTATAGGTACCCATATTTCCAGAAAAACGAAATTGAAAAATTAGTTGAGGAAATGTTAGCAGCCCATATCATCCAACCAAGTACCAGTCCGTTTGCCAACCCGGTGTTGTTAGTCAAGAAAAAAGATGGAAGCTGGAGGTTTTGTGTGGATTACAGGGCCCTCAACGAGATAACAGTGCCCGACAAGTTTCCTATCCCGACCATCGAGGAACTATTGGATGAACTGGCAGGTGCAACAATCTTTTCCAAGCTGGATCTCTGATCCGGGTACCATCAAATTAGGATCAAGGACGAAGACATCCCCAAAACAGCTTTTCGAACTCATGAGGGCCATTACGAGTTCTTGGTGATGCCATTCGGATTGACCAACGCTCCTTCAACATTTCAGGCACTTATGAACAGCATTTTCAAACAGGTTTTGCATAAGTTTGTATTGGTTTTCTTTGATGATATCCTGATATACAGTAGTGACTTGGAAACCCACTTTCAACACCTTCGACAAGTCCTTCAAATTTTGGGTAACAATGACCTGGTGGTTAATTGGAAAAAGTGCTCATTCGGGCAGCCTAGACTGGAATACCTGGGGCACTTAATTTCAGCACACGGGGTGGAGGCCGACCCCCAAAAAATTACAGCTATGGTTTTTTGGCCTGCACCCACCAATGTGAAAAGTCTCCACGGCTTCTTGGGATTAACGGGGTATTATCGCAGATTTGTTAAAGGATATGGCAGCATAGCCCAACCACTCACACGGCTCTTGAAGAAAAACTGTTTTAATTGGGATCAAGAAGCTCATCAGGCCTTTCACGCCTTAAAGAAAGCTATAACCTCAGTTCCAATGTTGGCAGCCCCAGATTTAGCCTTCCATTCGAGATCCAGACGGATGCTTCAGGCCAAGGTATGGGAGCGGTGCTGGTGCAACACAAACGACCCATAGCATACTTAAGTAAAGCATTTTCCCCTCAAGCTAAACAAAAATCAGTCTATGAAAGAGAACTAATGGCTGTCGTTTTCGCTGTACACAAGTGGAGTCCGTATTTATTGGGCAGGAAGTTTATCATTCGAACGGACCAGCGAAGCCTTAAATTCCTTAAGGATCAGCGGATTAAAAAACCGGAGCAGCATAAATGGTTGTCTAAGTTGATGGGGTATTCTTTTGACATTCAATATTTTCCATGCACCACAAATAAGGTCGCGGATGCACTATCCCGGCGAGACAAGAACCCAGAATTATTATCATTATCAAAAATTCAGTTTTCGGAGTATGAGGACTTAGCTAACGAAGCCCACCAGGACCCCAAGCTACGGCAGTTGATTCAAGCGTTGGTTTTGGACCGTAACAGCCAACCGCATTATAAACTCTACCATGGGTGTCTCATGTACAAAGACAGGTTAGTTTTACCTAGAGGTTCTCGGTTTGTTCAAAAGCTACTTACTGAATTCCATTCCAGTCCGTCAGGAGGCCATTCGGGATTTTTTCGGACATACAAAAGGGTATCTAATGTGGCTTACTGGGCAGGTATGAAGACGGATGTCTAAGACTTTGTCAAAAAATGCACCATCTGCCAGGTTAATAAACACTCAGCTTTGAAGTCCGCAGGGCTACTTCAGCCACTTCCAATTCCCGCTCAGGCATTTGATGATTTGACAATGGATTTCATTGGAGGCCTTCCAAGGACGAAAGGGTTTGACACCATACTGGTTGTAATGGACCGCTTGACTAAATACAGCCATTTCCTACTTCTGTCACACCCTTATACAACCAAGAAGGTAGCCTTAGTTTTCATCAAGGAAATAGTGAAGCTTCACGGGTTCCGTCAAACCATCATTTCAGACAGGGACAGATTGTTTATGAGTCATTTTTGGCAGGAAATTTTCAGAATCTTAGGTACAACTCTGAAATTCAGCTCGGCTTACCATCCTCAAACAGATGGCTAAAGCGAAGTGGTGAATCGGTGTCTAGAGACTTACCTCCGCTGTTTCTACAACTCACAGCCCCATCAATAGCCCAACTGGTTATCATGGGCTGAATTTTGGTACAATACGACATACCATCAATCCACTAAGATGACACCCTTTAAAGCATTGTACGGCCGAGACCCTCCGACTCTCCTTAAACTCACTGATTACCCCTTTGCAGTCGATGAAGTAAACCAGCAAATCCAAGAACGCAATGCCCTTCTTCAAGACCGTAAACATAACTTGGAAGTCGCACAAACTCATATGAAAACCCAAGCAGACAGCCACCGGAGGGACATCCAGTTCTCTCTAGGAGATTTTGTTTATCTCAAGCTTCAGCCATACAAGTTTAAATCTCTAGCCACATGGTTGAATGAAAAATTGAGTCCCCGGTTCTATGGACCCTTCCGAGTGATCGAAAAAATTGGTCAGGTGACATACAAACTAGAACTACCCCCAGCAGCCCGTATTCACCTCGTTTTTCATGTATCCCAATTGAAGATCTGCCTCCATAGTTCAGTCCCTGTACAGCCTCTACCATCTTGTCTCACAGAAGATCTGGAACTTCAGGTTCAACCCGAGGCAGTGCTGGATGTGCAGAATCTGATAGATGGCTCCACCGAGGTACTCATCAAATGGAAGGACTTGCCTAATTTTGAAGCCACCTGGGAATCTTTTGAGGTCATCAATACTCAATTTCCTCAATTCCACCTTGGGGACAAGGTGGCATTTCAAGGGGGGGTATTGTTAGACCCCCTATACGTAAGGTCTATGAGTCCAAGGGCAGGGGAAGGAAGAGGTGCAAGGGTACAATAAGTGTGAGTCCAGTAGAGGATGTTGACGTGTGCAAGGAGGGTGATTAGGCAGGGGAAATCTGTTGTGAAATGAGACACGTACAAGGGAAGTTTGTTATGAAAAGGGACACCTAGCTGTCAGTTAGTTGAAGAATTGACTATTTAAGAAGATGAAAGTAAGGAGGGAGGATATAGAGAAATAATATTCATTGGCTGGTTAGGGAGGTCCCCAGCTCCTCGAAGTGCTGGGAATTTGCTTGTCATTTCTATTTGCTTGTTATTATGCTAGTTACTATATCTTAGTCCATTAATATAAACTTCCATTTCTGTCACTTGTGCATATCCTGTATTTGTGTGCTGTGTGTGCGTTGCTGTGGTTCTTATTTGCAGGGAGTTCCATCATTGGATTTGGTAAAACTGAAGTTGCACTACGTGCCATCTTCTGTGTAGTCTTTGCAGGGAAGCAGTCTATGGTTCTCGCACCTACAATTGTTTTAGCCAAACAGCATTTTGATGTTATTTCTGAGCGGTTTTCCTTATATCCTAATGTCAATGTTGGACTGCTGAGTCGGTTTCAGGTATGCTATAGGTTAGCCTCTTCTCTCTTTAAGTCAAACAGATGGTTCTGTATGTACATTGGAAGAAAATGGTCTTTGTAATTCAAGTTAAAGAACTTTTCTGGTCCAGTGCATGTTACAAGTTCCTTGGTTCATTTTGTAAGTCTAATTACGTTGTTACAAAATACAGACTAAAGCAGAGAAAGAAGAGTATCTGGACATGATAAAACAAGGTCATCTGAACATTATTGTGGGAACTCATTCACTTCTTGGAAGTCGTGTTGTATTTAACAATCTAGGTCTTCTTGTGGTCGATGAGGAACAGGTCTGCCTCCAAGTTTTATTGCTCTTGCATGTTTAGATTGACCTGGATTTGTTCTCAGTATTTACTGAAATAGCTTTTAATTGTCATTCATGTGCAACAATTCTTTGGTTCGCAGAGGTTTGTTGTCAAACAGAAGGGGAAGATTGCTCCATTTAAAACCTCAGTTGATGTTCTTACTCTGTCTGCAACACCTATACCACGAACACTCTATTTAGCATTGACTGGATTTCGTGATGCTAGGTAATAATTCTGTTGGCAGTCGAAGTTTTATGGATCTTAATGTTCATGATGCTAGATAATGTTCAGTTTATTTAGTGTCTCAAATTTTGGCAAATAAGAGGAGTGGCCAAACTATTTTGCAGCATTCATGAAGCTTCAAGATACAAAGTCCAACATTGAAGAAAGAGCAAAACAATTTTTTTCTAAAATGCAATGTAAATAATATTAAGTCAAAATTTTATCTTTGGCTGCTATGTACAGAAAAAGCATTCAGTACAGTTTGACAACTTCAGTAAATTAAGATATGTAGTTTTGGTGTTCTGATCAAGTCACCGACTTGGACAGGTATGAAATTTGGGGATATAGAATTCTGTAGCTGATGTGAAGTGGTCTGGGACTGCACTGAGTTGCATTGTATTTACAAGATAGGCTAATTAGCATATTATGATGTTTTTACCTACAGACTTATGGGGAGACTTTTATGGATAAACTTCATGGTTGGACATGAGTATTATCTAACACAAAGAAATGAGCTCTTTATAAATACTTGGCAGACAAACATACTGAAAAGTCATTCAGACTGGTACTCGCTGCTTGCTGGACCTTTAATCTTATATATCATAATTTATCCACTCTTTCTCTTTTCAGCTTAATTTCAACTCCACCTCCAGAAAGAGTTCCTATAAAAACCCATCTTTCGGCTTTCAGTAAGGAAAAGGTAATATCAGCAGTCAAGAATGAGCTGGACCGGGATGGACAGGTTTTTTACGTCTTGCCTCGTATAAAAGGTGAAACCTGAGTGTGTCCTGCATTAAATTTCTCATACATGAAATACTTGGGCATGATCCTCTGATTATTGTATCACAATTTGGATGGTATTGTAATGTTTATCTTTTAACTGAGTTGAGAGTCAGAATTATGTCATTTTTCTGTTTTTTTGTTCCTATTTCTGCTACTAATATTTTTTCCATGATTGATTGAAGTATTTGTTACCTTAATAGAATGTAGCATGAAATTTATTCTATACATGCATGTATTGATGTTTGGAAAAAGGAAGTTTCCCCTGCACAATAGTTTGAAAATCAAGTATTAAACTCTTTATATTACTTAAATTGTGTGTTATGTGTAACAGGACTTGAAGAAGTGATGGATTTTCTTGAACAGGCATTTCCAAAGTTTGATATAGCTATTGCACATGGACAGGTATTTCCTCCTTTGAACTTACATATGCATGTTTTTTATATTAAATAAGCTACTACAGTAGTTTTCAGTCTGGCCCTAGAATATAAAACTTCCATAATTACCCATTGAGACGGTGGGAAGAGTCTTAAATTATGTGGATAGCATCTCAATCTCAGAAATTTGTGGTTTCATTTTGGAATTGATATAAGAAACCAATGTGTTGTTGAGATTTTAGTTCCAAAGGTTGGTAGCAAATTGATTTGGCTTTGTGGTTGGCTGAGTAAATCCTTTTGTATCATTTTGCAACATCTATGGCTATGCCCGCTAAAGTGAATTCTACTGATGATGTTGGAAATTCACCAACATCTTCCACAAACATAAATCACCAAGACTTTCAGTTATGTCGAATTAATTGAGACCCTTAAGATAAGAATGAGCTATAAGAAATGATGACATGAACCTGTGTAGATGGGATGACTTTGGATTGTGTTTTGCTAGTTTGCTCGTGGTATGCAGTACATAGAGCTGCTATGATTACACATTTGTGAAATGGTTGGCCTCTTTGTATTTTGACAGAAAATGTCTCTTGCAGATGGATTTTACGTGGTGATCTCTAGTAGTTGTACTTGCTCCTTATTTGATTGTGCAGAAGATGGCTTAGTTTTAACTCTACTAGTAGCTTCTGATGTTTCATGTGATACCCATTTTATATGCTATGTGCTTCTTACAGCAATACTCGAAGCAGCTTGAGTAAACCATGGAGAAATTTTCACGAGGCATTATTAAGATTCTTATATGCACAATATAGTCGAAAGTGGGCTTGACATTCAAAATGCAAACAGTATCATAGTTCAGGATGTTCAACAGTTTGGCCTAGCGTAGTTGTACCAGGTCCTTCCCTTCTGCACTTTCTTTGCATCTGAGTCTTTTATAAAAATCTAGGTGTGAAGAATCAACACTAGAAATTATTTATTCTGAAAATGCACATTAGTGATAGTGAGATAGACCAGGCTACCCACCATTTCGATATAAACTGGGATCAACAAGTAAGTCCCCCTCCTCTTGCGAAGCTTGACATTTAATTCATGGGAGTATCGACAGAGGTAGCGTCCTGCAGTCCAACTGTAGCCACCAAATCACTAGCATACTTATGTTGATTGAGTGAAATCCAGAGGGACTACGATGCACCTCAAGACTAAGAAAATACGTGAGAGACCCAAGGTCTTCATATGAAAGGATTTTGAGAGATGGGTCTTGAGTTGGACAAGTAAAGCAGAATCAGAACCAATGATCACAATATCATCAACATAAACCAAAAGGACAACAATACCCTGTCGATACCAAGAAACAACGAAGTGTCATACTGCTTGCTTGAAGGAAAATTGTAATAAAGTGGTTCGAAATTATCAAACCAGGCCCGCGGAGCTTGTTTGAGACCATAAGAGAGCGACGAAGTTTACACACACTTGGAGGTCGGAGAAGGAAACAATCCGGGGGTGGCTCATAAATACACTCTTTAAGATCCCCGTGAAGGAAAGCATTCTTAAAGTCCATCTGATGTAGTGGCCAATCATTGGAAGCAGCAAGAGCTAGGATGTACGAACAGTGGTCATCTTAGCCACAGGAGCAAAGGTCTCCTCATAATTGACACCATATTTCTGATTGTTTCCAAGGACAACAAGCGAGCTTTATAACGATCCAAACTTCCATTAGAGCGAACCTTGAATGAGTAAACCCATTTGCAACCCAGAGGAAACTATAGTGGAAGGACAAGGCTCAATGTCCCAGGTGTGATTGGTCTCTAGAGCGGCAATTTCTTCCTGCATAGCTTGTCGCCAACAGTCAGCTTGACAGCATGTGAGTAGCATGTGGGAATATCAAAATTGGACAATGCAGCAGTAGAGCTGAAATAGAATTTCTAGAAGAAAATCCATACCTATCCGGGGGTACAGACACTCGAGAAGAGCGAGTACCAAAGGCTTTGGAGGGCGAACAACTGATTCTGTGTATGTTAGGATTAGATAGCGGGTGAGCCACTGGAAGAGACCGTGGGTGGGATCGTCTTGTGTACACCATACCTGGTTTAAAACGAGAACTGACTTGATGAAGATCTGAGAACTGCTGCTCAAAGGAGGGAGGACCAAGTAGAAGAAGAAGGCACAGATGACACAGGAAAGAAATGTTGATTTTCAAAGAAAATAACATTCCTAGAAATGCGTGTAAGATGTAATGTAGGATCATAGCAAACAAATCCCTTTTGACACACATTATATCCTAAGAATGCACGTCTAACAGATTGAGCAGATAATTTATATCGCTCATGAGGAGGTAAATGAACAAAACATAAACAACCAAAAATACGAAGATTATCATAACTAGGTGTAGCAAACAAGCGGAAATAGGGAGACTCCATGTGTAAAACTTGGGAAGGTAACGATTAATCAAATGAGTAGCAGTCTTTAGAGCCTCAACCCAGAACATGGATGGAACAGAAGATTCTAACAAGAGAGTACGTACCATATCAAGAAGATGACGATTTTTGTGTTCGGCTACTCATTTTGTTAGGAGTAGCAGAACATGAACGTTGATGGATAATACCTTTAGAAGCCAAGAATGTATGAAACTCAGTAGACAAATATTCACACCAGAATCTGTGCTTTCTCGTTTAATATTCGCAGAAAATTGATTTTCAACATACGCTAAAAACTCAGTGAAGTACGAAAAATCTCAGATTTAGAGCGAAGAAAATAAACCCAAGTAAATTGCTATGATCATCAATGAAAGTCACATAGTATTTAAATTTTTCATGTGAACTAAAGGGAGGTCCCAAACATCACTATGGAAAAGATCAAAAAGTGAGAAGCTCTACTAGCATGCAAAGGAATGGAAGAGTTTTGCTTTTACCAAGTTTACAAGAATCACATTCAAGAGATAAAGAAGAACGTTCTTTATACCAAGAAAGCCAGAGTTCAATATATGAGATAAGATCTGAGTATTGGATGGCCTAAACGACGATGCAACACCCATACTCAGATTAGGAACATTATTACAAGCAAAAGACTTAATAGAAGAAATGGAGAAAGTGTTGGAACAGGTAAAAATAGTGGAAACAAGCGCCCACTTTAGGTCTCTCGCGATCGGCTTCCCCGTTACTTGGTCCTGCAAACACACAACCATCACTAGAAAAATTAACAGCACAATTGTTGTCAACTAATTGACCAACAGATATAAGATTCGTGGAAAGCTGAGGAGCAAGAAACACATCAGTAAATGTAAAAGAAGCATTTCCGAGTAGGGATGGCAAAGAACTGCCATTGGTAGTCTGAATGGCGATTGACCAGCATAGGGCCGAACATGAGACAGATTTGTGGAGTATCGTCATGCGATTAGAAGCCTGAGTTTACTACCAGAGTGTAGTAGAATGTTTACCTTGAAACCCATCGCAGATAATGCTGAAATAGGTCTGTTGCACCATTTCAGGGGTGCAGTAAGTTACCGCAGGAGGTGCAAGATCGGAGGAAGCACCTGAGGAAGAGTCATGTGCTACAGAAGTCACTGTGGAGGAATAGTAACAGAAGTCTGAAACCGTGGCCTAACGATTCTGGGGGCAGATACGACATTTTTTGATAATATGACCATTTTTCTTGCAATAAGAACATATTTTTTAGGACAATTGGCAGCAATATGCCCATATTCTCTGTAGCAGAAACATTGCAGATTTTTAGAAGTCACCAGTGATCACGTCCTTGAGCACATAAGCCATAGTGTCGTCTTGGAACTGCCATGAGATTGCTCCAGAATAGCTGTAGTACTAAGACGTTGTTCTTCGCGAAGTAATTCACCAAACAAATATCAAGAGAGGGAACAGGAGATCTGTTCAGTAGAGAGGAGCGAACTGATTCATATTCCGAGTGTAGTTTCATAAGAAACTGATCACTCTGGCTGGTCTTGTGAAGATTCTAAATAGTCAAAAGAGCAGCAACAGGAACATCTACTGTAACCAAAGCAGATATTCATGCCAAAGAGTCAAAAATGCCGAGTAGTAGTCTTGATGGAAAGACTGCTATGTTGAAACATGGCAATGTGATGTTCCAACTAAAAACGACGAGCATCATTATCTTGATGATAAATCTTCTAAATAATTCCACATGGATTGAGCGGAGCGATAAGCCTGCAAGTTGGTGATAAGATGTGGCTCCGAACCAAGAAGCCAAGACATGATTCGAGCATCAAGCACAACCTAAGAAGGAGAAGACAAACATCCTTGGATTGTCACTGTCGGATGTTGGTGCAACATCGTGCCATCATATGGCCCCAAAGTTCTTTTCCCTTAAGAAAAAATTCAAACTGAAAAGCCCGGTAGAGTAATTTTTGCCTGTAAAACTTGACACACACTGGTGCAGAATCCATTGGAAATAAATGGAACTCAAGACAAAACAAAAATAACCAAAAAAATAAAGGAACCGAGAGAAGGAACTTAAACAGAGGTTGCTGAAGACACCACTCCAGGAGAAAATGCTCAGAAAATGCCAAGAAAATGCCCAGAAAAAAATTTCAGCCTTGCTCGATACTATGTCAAAATAAGTCATAAATGCTATATAAATGGCCGAATGACTGGCCTTGTGATTTCTCTCATATATTTTCTGTACAAAAGAATTCTACATGGAATACTACGTATCTGCTAATCTTATCTCTATACAATCTGTCAATAATTAAGCAATTATTCAGAAGATTAAATCAAGTAGCTACATATCTGCTAACTTATCTCTATACAATCTGTCAAATATTAAGCTAATATCAGAAGAGTAAATCAAGGAAATAAACAGAAATAAATAGGACAGCAAAGCTGTCCGTTGACAAGCTACCATCTAAGTAAGTTCAAAACATTTTGTTCTCCAGTAGCATGCTATTTGATATAACAAAGTGATAGTTGAAATTTATGATCTTATAAGAATGGGTGAATGTGTTTCTTCCTCTTACAGTTTGACTTCTACAGGTTTTATTGATGTTGAAAGGGATCTGACTGAGAGGGAAACTCCAATGGACTGTTTAATTTTGGAGATGTTGGATTTGGTAAAACTGAAGTTGCAATACGTGCCATCTCTGTTTAGTCTCTGCAGGGAAGCAGGCTATGGTTCTAGCACCTACAATTGTTAGCCAAACAGCATTTTGATGTTATTTCTGAGCGGTTTTCCAATATCCTAATGTCAATGTTGGACTGCTGAGTCGGTTTCAGGTATGCTAGGTTAGCCTCTTCCTCTTTAGTCAAACAGATGGTTCTGTAGTACATTGGGAGAAAATGGTCTTGTAATCCAAGTTAAAGAACTTTCGTCCGTGCATGTTACAGTTCCTTGGTTCATTTTGTAAGTCTAATTACCTTGTTACAAATATAGACTAAGCAGAGAAAGAGAGTATCTGGACATGTAAAACAAGGTTCACTGAAACATGACTACCGCCTCCCAATTGCTAATAAGATACATATTTGTTGGACTGTTTGTTACAGCTACATCAATAGGAAGAAATCCATCTGGAAAGTGCTCAGTATCATTTTGCTAGGACTTCTTATGAACCTACACCAGATCAAATGCAAGTAAGATCTCAACTTATTCTGTTTATTCTGTTTCATTGTTAAACTTTGTTGCTGAGGTCAAACTGATTTTACATTTGATGCTAGTATGATGTTTCTTTTTCTTTGGATGTTATTTGGGGTATAGAAAACTTGTATTAAGTGATCGCTAATTTGAATACAGTCTCAGTCATGCCTAGAATCTATGGGTTAGGGAGGCCCTGTTCTTAGCTTTGTCAAAATAAGTCTAAAATGCTATATAAATGGCCGAATGACTGGCCTTGTGATTTCTCTCTATTATATAATTTGTACAAAAGAATTCTATACATGGAAATACCTACGTATCTGCTAATCTTATCTCTATACAAGCTGTCAATAATTAAGCTAATTATTCAGAAGAGTAAATCAAGTAGCTACATATCTGCTAATCTTATCTCTATACAATTTGTCAAATATTAAGCTAATTATTCAGAAGAGTAAATCAAGGAAATAAATAGAAATAAACATGGACAGCAAAGCTGTCCGTTGACAGAAATAAATATGGACAGCTTTGCTATCCGTTGACAGCCCCCCTCAAATTGATGCAGGTTGATCAACAAGCATCAATTTGCTACTTAGGAAGCAATGTCAATGACGAGTGAGAGCCTTGGTGAAGATATCAGCAATTTGTAGTTTAGTGGAAATGTGTGGAAGAGTGATAACACGAGCTTCAAAGGCTTCACGAATAGAATGACAATCGACTTCAATATGCTTTGTGTGCTCATGATAGACAGGATTGGCCATGATCTGAATAGCACTTGTATTATCAGCATGTAAAGGTGTAGGATCGGTCTCAGAGAAGTCTAACTCACCAAGCAAACCTCGAAGTCAAATAATTTCGGAACAAGTAAGAGACATCGCTCGGTACTCAGATTCTGTAGATGACTTAGAAACTCTATCTTGCTTCTTACTCTTCCAGGAAATCAATGCATCACCTAAGAACATGCACCAACCAGTGATGGAATGACGTGTATCAGCACAACCAGCCCAATCAGCATCGCTATAAGCAACAAGACGAGGAGAATTGCCTGCAGGAAAGAATAAGCCACGAGCAGAAGTGCCCCGAACATAGCGTATGATCCTACGGACAGCAGCCAAATGAAAATGACGAGGAGTCTAAATGAAAGAATAAGCCACGAGCAGAAGTGCCCCGAACATAGCGTATGATCCTACGGACAGCAGCCAAATGAAAATGGCTGACTTGCTGTACAGCAAAAGAAAATCTTGTTTAGTGATAGTGAGATAGACCAGTACTCCACCAATTTCCGATATAAACTGGGATCACAAGTAAGTCACCCTCCTCTTGAAGCTTGACATTTAATTCCATGGATATCGACAGAGGTAGCTCCTGCATCCAATGTAGCCACCAAATCACTAGCATACTTATGTTGATTGAGTGAAATCCAGAGGGACTACGATGCACCTCAAGACTAAGAAAATCTGAGGACCCAAGTCTTTCAATGAAAGGATTTTGAGAGATGGGTCTTGAGTTGGACAAGTAAGCAGAATCAGAACCAATGTCACAATATCATCAACATAAACCAAAAGGACAACAATACCCATGTCGGATTTCCAAGAAACAACGAAGTGTCATACTTGCTCTGCTTGAAGGAAAATTGTAATAAGTGGTTCGAATTTATCAAACCAGCCCGCGGAGCTTGTTTGAGACCATAAAGAGAGCGACGAAGTTTACCACATTGGAGGTCGGAGAAGGAACAAGTCCTGGGGGTGGCTTCATATAAATACACTCTTTAAGATCCCCGTGAAGGAAAGCATTCTTAACGTCCATCTGTGTAGTGGCCAATCATTGGAAGCAGCAAGAGCTAGGATGTACGAACAGTGGTCATCTTAGCCACAGGAGCAAAGGTCTCTCATAATTGACACCCATATTTCGATTGTTTCCAAGGACAACAAGCCGAGCTTTATAACGATCCAAACTTCCATTAGAGCGAACCTTGACTGAGTAAACCCATTTGCAACCAGAGGAACTATAGTGGAAGACAAGGCTCAATGTCCCGGTGTGATGGTCTCTAGAGCGCAATTTCTTCCTGCATAGCTTGTCGCCAACAGTCATGCTTGACAGCATGTGAGTAGCATGTGGGAATATCAAAATTGGAAATGCAGCAGTAAGAGCTGAAATAGAATTTCTAGAAGAAATCCATACCTATCGGGGTACAGACACTCGAGAAAGCGGACGTACCAAAGGCTTTGGAGGTGCTGTAACTACTGATTCTATGTATGTTAGGATTGATAGCGGGTGCCCACTGGAAGAGACCGTGGGTGGATCGTCTTGTGTACACCATACCTGGTTTAAAACGAGAACTGACTTGATGAAGATCTGAGAACTGTTGCTCAAAGGAGGGGAGGACCACAGTAAAGAAGAAGGCACAGATGACACAGGAAAGAAATGTTGATTTTCAAAGAAAATAACATTCCTAGAAATGCGTGTACGATGTAATGTAGGATCATAGCAAACAATCCCTTTTGACACACATTATATCCTAAGAATGCACTCTAACAGTTAGCAGATAATTTATTCGCTCATAGGAGAAAATGAACAAAACTAAACAACCAAAAATACGAAATTATCATAACTAGGTGGCTTAGCAAACAAGCGGAAATAGAGACTCCATGTGGTAAAACTTGGGAGGTAACCGATTAATCAAATGAGTAGCAGTCTTTAGCCTCAA